ATTTACTGAGTGGAAGAGATCCGTCTAAATTTGGAGTGAACATTTTAACCTCACTTTTAATAAACTACTAATAAATCCACAGATGTTGTCAAACATTTCGAGGCGCTGAACAGCGACTCGCCAGGCTTCTTGTTGGGTCTTCCCCATGTTGGTTTATTGCTGTCTTGTCCGTGTTCCTCTGAACGGGTTCTCACTGGGAAGTAAATTCCTTGTGTGTTTCTTGCAGACTTTGATTCTTGCAGACTGATTCAGGTTTGGAGAAAGAAACCATTGAAAATTGTTGTTGGTTTCATATACCCATGTTAAAAAAAATTGCATGTATGGCATTTTAGATGCTTTACTCCATATTCACATATTAATTTGCCATGTATACCTTCATGTCTGCAATCTGGCCTGTGGTGCAAGTAAAAATAGAACTCGGGTTGCCATTTTTTAGTCATATAAAGCAATGTTTATGTTTACTCACTCATAACAATAACAATAATTGTCCTATCCTGTCACTCGGATTTTTACTACGATGCGTCATTGCAAAACGAATGTAAAAGAAATGCCTGTTGGACGGTATGGAATTATGAATGTGAAGACCCCACTGTACTATGTACTTACAGTTGACGCCGTCCGTTTTATAATGTCTGTTAATCGTCAACCGTACATACAATCGAAGGCGTACTCCGCCTAAATGTGCAGAGGGAGATTTACTGCTTGGAAGCCAAGTCTGAAGCGGCCCATGAGATTTTAGTATTTCTTTTATTCCGATCTGATGGGGGCGCGCGTTTTGATGATAAGCTTATTGTGTGATATCCTAGTTCTTCATGAGACTCATGAGCTGGTTAAAACAGAAGAAAATGGCAGCTTTCAGTTCACATCTGGTGTCGAGTCAAAGGCAGCTCTTTGTAAGGTCATGTAAGATGAGCGCGGTGTGTTTCTCGTCAGCCACCCACAGACTGACAAACTACATCTCCTTTTGTGTCCCACACGGTTGAAACAAGCATCCTCTTTTCACATGTCTCTATACACAATGCTGTCTTGTGTAGTCTGTACTTCTAAAAGCAGACACAAATTGTTGAATGTTGGGAAGAGCTCCAAAAAAAACCCAATAAGAAAAACACGATCACCTTATGGAGACAGTAACTTTTGTTGGTGGTGTCTGGTCTACATTGATTCAGAAGGAGACATGAGCAAGTTAGAGTAAGTGTACTGGTTGTTGCAGGAGAACAGGGAAATATCTTTTCATGATGCCTCGTTTGGATATGAATAATTATAAACATTTGAATATGGAAAACAGTTTCTTCCGCCGATGTTTTCAAGTACCTGTTAAAAGAAGAAAAAAAAAATCACCTAACAATTCCCTTCACTTATGTTTTCAAGTACCTGTTAAAAGAAGAAAAAAAAATATATCACCTAACAATTCCCTGCAGATCACTGTATGGCTCCAAAGAAGATTGGACCATGTCGCGGTGCCTTCCCCCGGTGGCACTACAACGCCGCTTCGCAGAAGTGCGAGGGGTTTGTGTTCGGCGGCTGCAGGGAAAACCTGAATAACTATCTTTCGAAGGACGAATGCACAAATGCGTGCTATGGCACGGGTATGTTTAACTTCTCTTCCAATTATGCATTTATAGTGTGCGGATTTTTTGACATTTCTCAGGGACTTTTTTTTTTTTTTTTTGTCGATCTGATGCCCTTGTCTACATAACAGGCCTGGGTACACGTTGCTTTGAAATTGCAAATGATGCTCTTTGCATATGTTTGCGTGCATTAGAAATATATGCACGCCGGAAACGACAATCGGTGGTTCACCCACAATTGTTGCTCATGGTGGTCCTTCATTCGAAAAGCAAAAGGTTGACTTTTAGTCATATTTTCCTGTCCGCCAGTTGCACGTGAACAAGATTGTCCGCTTTAATAAAAAAACGTGCAAAATGACACTGTAAAAAGTACAGGAAGTCATTTAGGACAGATGCGGGCTGTACGCTGTAAAAAAACAGCATGCAAAATTGCACTTATACTGTATTAAAAAAAAAAAAAAGAAATTCCACAATTTAGTCAGTCCCTGAAAGGTGAACTCCGCTATAGCAAGGGACCACTGTACATCAATTATTTTGTCCAAATATCTACATAAAATGAACCAAATGTTTTTTTTATTTATTATTTTTGTCAAAGCTCTTGTGCAATTTCCATGTCGTGACGTTGCGACACAGATGACCAATGATTCGAAATTTGAATTGCAGCAAACCCGATCATCGGGCAATCATGATAATTGATAATGAGTGTTCCAGGACCCATCCCACTGTCTTTCTGGGCCACTGAATGTCTCCACTTGTTGTCTGGTGAATACTATCTTAGGTTTTGTTTTGTTTTTTTTCCTCAGAAAAAAGGGGTAGTGGTAGAGGTTTACCAGTTCCAGATCAACGAGGTATGTCGCGATTGTACCCCGTGACAGAGTTGTTTTTACTCATAGTATTCAATTTTCTAGACTGTAACATGTTTTCTTTTTGATGGTGCTTTTTCTACGTGTTCACTGGCAGAAAAGTGTGGCGTCGCATGCACCCCCGAGCAGTTCACTTGTGCAAACGGCTGCTGTTTGGAACCCGGCTTGGAGTGTGACTCAACCGCTCAATGTAGCGACGGCTCAGATGAGCAAAAATGCAAGGATTGTAAGAAGCTGTCGTGATTTTTTTTTTTTAATCACTCGTTAATCTCACATGGATGAAATTTAGGCTTATCTCAATTTATGTTTTCTTGTATTTCAGTGGACAACACATTTCAGATTTTGCTGAAGATTCCAGTGGATGAGCAAAAAGGTGATTTATTTATTTTATTTTATTTATTTATTTTTTAATTCCCTAGACGAGATTGTAGTAGTAGAATCTCATTTTATTTCATGTTCTGAAAAGTGTTTTGTTACAGCTACGGCTGCTG